TGCGTGCCGAATAAAATAAATGCAAAAATACTTTGCAATTAAATAAACATATAGATGTTTAAATAATTAAATTGATTAATTAAATCAATACACACATTTACTGTGCTATAAAGAAACAACCGGTTGCTATTCCCTGTTATTGCATCTCATCCGGAACCTTAGCGATAGGTTTTACCGGCGGCTTCTTTTCCGTGTTGCACAAAACAATAACTGCAGACCCGCACAGCTTCAAAACGATGTGGAGCTCAGTAGGGTTGAGTGTGATTAACGTTGTGTGGTCTTCTCTGGCTTTGTGCTTCCTCGTTGCTTTTTGTGCTCACAAAGTGTCGCGACTGTTGCCGGGAATATTTGACACGTGTCCCGCTTACGTTTTATTTCAGGACCTTATTCGTTACGGAAAAACTAAACAGAGCTTAAAGCGAGACGAATGGCTGCGGGTTTTTGACGTCCCAAAAAGGTGACAGTGAATGACAGAACTTTACTGTAATGTATTTTATATCCTACTATATCTAACCGAACATTTAGGTGGTTTTGAATCATTATTTACTTTTTAAATATTTAAACGTGGCATGCTTTTCGCCTTCCAGGTGGTTCTGGCACTTCTATGCAGTCTCTGTTGGCTGGAATGGTCTTCTTCTGGTCTTGTACCTCAGCTTTATATTTCAGCATCAGTCATACCCTTTGTGGTTGAGCGACTTTTTAGACATTTTGACTGGCGCACACAGCAGTGACAGTCAAGGTAAGCTAAAGGAAAAAATGGTTGTTTTTCTGTTTAATTCATTTTTGTGTCTGATGTTAGTGTTGGCTGTAGTCCCACAGCTTTCCACCGTCCTGGTGCAGCTGCTGCTGTGGGTCCACTCCCTCAGGAGGCTGCTGGAGTGCCTGTTTGTCAGCGTTTTCTCTGATGGGGCGATGCACTTGGTACAATATATGTTCGGCCTGGGGTATTACATCATGTTAGGGTTGACGATCCTCTGCTGTGATCGTATGGAAAAAGGTTTGAGTTGGTGCTTTCTGTGTGCTTCTATGTGCACAATTCCCTGGTTCATCTGCTTTGTGGTACTGATGCTTCCACCATTTCTTTTAGAGAGAAGCTCCCTCCTCTCTCAGCTGGACTGGCTGCTTGTTGCTGGGTTTTTACTCTTCATTTGGGCCTCGTGGCTGCAGCATCAGTCTATGGTCCTGCTGGCCAGACTTCGCACTGGAAAGTCAGGTAAACCTAGGAAACTCTCTGTCTTTCTGTTTTGTTTTTTTATTTCTTTGTTTCTTTCTTTGTTTTTTCTTTGCTGCCTCCAGCATTATTGCTATCACTGAGAATTTGCATATTAATGATCAAGGAACTAACAGCTTGAAGTTAACTTCCTCTGCTGTCTGTTTTTCTGTTTATGTGTTAACCGCAAAGCACATGGGTCATCCCATCTCCAAATTGCCTTTAGCTCAACCAGCTTATATTTTCCTAAAGAACGTATGGTCCAAAGTTAGGATACATGTAATGATTTTTGTTAAATTTTAGATTTATGTATCAAATACTTTTCAAAACATATATTTTTGAAAAATGGCCAATTGACCCACTTTCAGCATTTTTTTATTTGATTTTTTTTATTTTTGCTCTTTGAAAACCGAGGCCATGTTTAAGCATGAATATTTCAAAAAACATTAGCTAAAGGAGGCTAAAAAACTGCAGAGAGCTGAGTGGAACTGCAGAGCTGCGAGATAATTCTCTGTGGGTTTGGCGCCGTGAGTGAGACATTTCACAACAGACAGTAATTTGATCAGTTGTTAATTAGCACAGCTTTAACCTGATACACACTGGAAATGGTAAACCAGTCTATGTAAACGTTGAAAGTTGCTGATGTCACTTTTTCTTGTTTTTTGTCATGTCATGCAGGAACAGTGGAAACGCTGACTCACAGAGTGCCAAAGGGAGGTTGGTTTGAGCTGGTTTCTTGTCCCCATTACTTTGCTGAGCTGCTGATCTACATCTCGTTGAGCTTTGTTTTCAGAGGCCTCTCTTTCACCTGGTGGCTTGTGGTACTGTATGTGCTCTTCAACCAAGCACTGGCAGGACAGCTTTGTCATGACCTTTACATTAGCAAATACAAGTCATACCCAAGGCATAGAAGAGCATTTATACCCTTTGTGCTATGAATACTCAGACACTGTATTGGTCTTTTTGTGGTAATAAATGGGAACTGTAAAGAAAACTGCCAGAGATGTCGGAGGAGCAGAAACCTTACGAGCAAAAGCCATCTTTTTCTAAACGTTCTTTCAAACCTCCAAATTTAACTAATCGGCTTGACAGCTAAGAGGCCAACACTGTGTTTGATTTCTGGCAGAAGACTCTAGAGGTGAGAACTTTCTCCGACTGATGTGAAGACACTGTGAGGAACATTGCTGGAATTCATTTGTTCATTACATTAAGAACTTGTTTTTCTTACGATTAAGTACTTAAAAATCTTTTGCTTCCTTTTACAGTATGCCAACCTCTCGAGTTATAACTGGTATTGTAATCTCTAAATGTTTATGTGAAAAAGAAACCTGCAAAACACTGTGGTGTTGAATATTTTTCTTTTATAGCAAAACAGAATGTATTGTATTAATACCGGAACGACAAGGAGTTTTACTTTAAAACGAAAAGTAACATGACATGGACATGTTGTAATGAATAAAGAAACTTTATTCAACAAAAAGTATTATTGTTGTTTAAAGAGGCACAAACATGGGGACGTTACTTTCAGGAGGGAAATCAAGTCATAAACCAATCAGGGGTGTGGTGGTTCAATCCCCAGGTACACTAGTTTGCATGATGTATTCATTATCCTTTAGATACTGGACCACAAATTGCTCCTGATTCATTCACAAGAACTTCACTTACTACGTTCACACTGCAGGTCTTAATGCTCAATTCCAATTTTTTTGATCAAATCCGATTGTTTTGTCTGCTTGTTCACACTACAAATAAAATGTGACAGCAAACGCGCTCTAGTGTGAACCCTCAAAGCGGCCCGCATGCACAAAAGAAGACGTCACACACAACGCACTCTGTTTAGACCCAGATCAAACAGTATTGTTTGACTGATGGCCCTTAATATAAAGACTTGTTTCGGACTTTACGTTTCCCAATTTTGCTTTAAGTTGTAACGTTATTGTGTTCTTTACAAATGGCCTAATAATGATCCTTATTTCTGTTTTTAGAGAGGAGCGGTTCTTCAAATGATAGTTGGAAATTTCTGTCAGAATCTGCAGATTATACAGTACAAATAAAATGTTTACGTTTCTCCAACGTTGTCTTCCCAACAGTTTCACTAACATCTACACTGGATGGCCCGAAAGCGTTCGCGATGTCTTCTCGGGTGCTGATAATTGGCGTCTGTCTTGTGTCAGTGTCGTAAAAGACGGATTTAATGCAACATGACCGTTCAAACAGCAGTCGCTTTCTAAAACATCAGATATGTATCGCATTCAGTACCGCATACGAAACAAATATTAAACAAATATCCCTATTTTCTACTACTTACACAGCGGAGAGTTATTATTTTAACCTTCAAACATTCATACTCGTGTCTTAATCACCAGGTAAAAAGAGAAGAAAGAGGCAAAACCTTACGCCAAAGTCAGGGGATGAAATTGCATTACTTATTGCTTGCACTACTAAAGAGTAGCGAGGAGCATGAAGGGAGTAATATTGTGGCAGGTAATTTCAAATGCAGCATTTCTGTCAGCTTAACAAACATCAGCAAACTCACAAACTGTTTGTGTGCTGCTGTATTTCACGGGGAGAGAAAAGTAAGAGAGCAAACTTCACTCAGAGATGGAGAAACATAAGAACAGGAGAGGACAAAGAAAGGTTATATGTAAAGGCAAGGACTGCTTAGTGGGATATTTATGAACTGGAAATGTAAGTTCTTATGTTTCTACATCAGATATTGGGCACTGTAAATTTGACATTGTGTTTTTCATATTGTGAAACCTGCTGGAAAAGAAGCTGAGGTAGAATAACTTATCTAATGGTTGTATGAAAATAAGCTGCAGGTTAATGTTGTATAAACAGGCTAGTTTGCTGTGCTGTGATGGATCCTTGCAGTTCTCCCACCTGCCAAATTCAATTTTAACCTCTTCCTACTCATTTTCCTGTTTTGAGGCAAAGTCGCTCTCTACAATGTAGGCAACAGAACATAGATATATTTTTTATGTTCCTCTTTTTCTCTGCTCTTGTTCTACTTAACTGATTAAAGCTGAGTAACTTTATTAGAATTACAATTTAGACTGAAATAAAGTTTGTATTTGTATGTACTAATATTATTTTAATATCACAATAATATAACAAGGTTAAGTTGTATTTACTTTAACTTGAGTAAAGACTTTTAATAAGTACTTCTATTTAAGTAAAGAATATCTGTGCTTTTGCCACCTCTGGTCACGTTCTTTATTTCCTTTTTATCCCTATAAAAGGCTGATGGAGTACTGTCCTCATTCCACTGGGCAGGCGGGCGTGCTGGACACCAAAGTTTGTGAATGTTAAGGCGACATAGGACTTTCAAATTGATAACATAGCATCATCTACTAAAAACTCAGATGAGTTGGAATCTTAGCGACCTCAAAGTCGCTTTAATTTTATTTAATGTTTATTCTGCTTATCCCAAATTTATTATTTGCCAAGCAAATTTTCTGCTCAAAGTAAATAATATTATTACTAATAATAATATATTTTTAAAGTAAATGGGCTGATATTTAGAGGGGCAAACACTCATTATTGTTAGGATTAGAATAGTAATTTTACATAAAAATATATAAAGAGAAAATTTGTAACTAATAAACAGAAGATCCTTTTTCAAGTTTTTTTTTTCAATGCAAAACTATTGAAAGAAAACAATAAAACTATATTTAAATAGCATTATGATCGACAATGAGATTGTCCATTCACTGAGCACTTCGCTGTGTGCGTCAGCTTACAAACCACGTCATTCATTTGAACGTCCAATCGTCTGTCTGCGTCGCTCCTCTTTGCGGCAGCACGGTTCTACTTCGCCCATGAGTTGAGTTGGCCCGGTCGGTCTCTCATATCGTGACGTGTGTTACCTCAAATTGTATAGGTTACTAAATATGGAGTTATACGGTTTTGTTGCAGATAACATGCAGTGATACGAGGGAGAGAAATTAGCGCGCAAATCGAGTCGTGTCGGTGTTTCGGAAGAAGTAATAATGCCTCGCGCGGCTGGCAGAAGAGACGGTGGGGCTAGCAGAAATGTGATGTGTGTCTTGTTTCCGCTCACCGCCGTGTTTTTGTTTTTGTCGGTCGGTGTTACTGCTATTCAAGAGGAGCAAAAAGCTGTCCCGGAACAGCCCCCGCAAGAGGTGAAAGGTTTTGCTTCATTGTCACTAATTAAGTGTTTTATCGTCATGTATAGGAAGCGGTCTTTGACGCGCTTCTTCCTCGCGCCCCGGGCTAGCCGAGCTCGTGCTAACTGATACGTCTCGCAGAGTTCCGGGTGTAACGTTAGCAAAAGTGGACAAAGTTACACTTGAATTTTTTAATCGTGAAGAAATTGCTTTAAAGTTAAGGTGACAGTCATTTGGGTGTCACGACGAGAAGGTCGTCATGTCCCCGCCAGTTTTGTTTACCTATTTAAACATTGTGGCCGAAGTGTTACAGCCAACAAGGGCAAACTTGAATACCTCATACTGATTTTTATTACAAACTGTGTGTAACTCAGCTGACAGTCACTGTGTGCATTTCCTTTGCAGAAAGTCTCCAGTGCCCAGCCACCGGGCCCAGTGGTTTCTGAAGATGTCTCCACCAAAGGGAACCTGGGCTTCATTCATGCCTTTGCTGCCTCTTTATCTGTCATCATTGTCTCTGAGTTGGGAGACAAGACCTTTTTCATCGCTGCTATCATGGCCATGCGCTACAACCGCCTCACCGTGCTGACCGGGGCTATGCTGGCCTTAGGATTCATGACTTGTCTTTCTGGTTTGTAAAACTTTGGATTTGGCCTTGACTGTTTTTTTTTTTGTTTTGTTTTGTTTTGTTTTTTTGGCATTACCCTTCGATCAGATCCTGAGAAATAACAAATACGTGTTGTTGTTGTTGTTTTTTCTTTCCCACATCATAGTACTGTTTGGCTATGCCACTACCATCATCCCAAGAATCTACACATACTATGTATCCACTGCTCTGTTTGCCATCTTCGGTATTCGCATGCTTAGAGAGGGGCTAAAAATGAGTCCAGATGAAGGTCAGGAGGAGCTGGAGGAGGTGCAGGCAGAGATCAAGAAGAAGGACGAAGAGGCAAGTTAACTTGATTCTAAACTATCTAGAAAAACAACATTTTTTTTAATGTCCAGTAGTACAACTCCAGTCCACATACATAATTTACATATTCAGTAATAGAAACCCCTCCTGAGTGGGTCCAGTTACTAACTGCTGACACCATTTTGCTTAGTAATTAGCGATTCGCAAATGGCTCATATTACTTAATCACCCAGAAGACCTAGTTACATTTTGCTGCTGCTGATGTGAGTTTTTGTTGTGTGGAAATTCTGATCTTATCATCAGGCTATATGAGCACATGGACACTTTAAAGTTGCCTGAGGCTGTCTTATTGAATGGCACCATTATGAGCTGTAATCGAAGTGCTGTACTGTAGACAAAAAAAACAAAAAACCAGATGGCTGATTGAACCTCTTAGCATTAGTGACAGTTTGTCATACAAAGTCAAGCTTAATTATATTCCCGTGCAGATCTGCATTCTAAGGTGTACTTGTAGAGGACATAAATCTACATCCTCTTAATCAAAACAAATCCGTTATAAGGAATATAGTTGGACCATCCACAGAGGACCTCATGACAAAATTTTGATCAAAGTATAGCACCCTTGTAAGTGAACCCTGCCTCTTGCAGGTACTGAGCCGTGAAAGTACTCTATTGGGTTGTCTTTCAAACCTCATGCCTCGTTGTCTGTGCAGCTCCAGCGGACTAAGCTCGCTAATGGGACTGCAGATGTGGAGGCTGGAACAGGGACTGCTGTTCCTCAGGGAAAGTGGCACAGCTTCATCTCACCCATCTTCATCCAATCCCTCACTCTCACTTTCCTCGCAGAGTGGGGGGACCGATCGCAGCTAACTACAATTATTCTAGCTGCCCGGGAGGTTTGTGACTTTCACTGTTAAGACAGCTGCTGTTTAATGCTTTGTAATATATTTTACAATAAATAGAGGCCATACATTTTCACTTTGATTGGCTGTTTGTTTCTTTTAGTTGCTGCTGTATTAATACACTGGTAATATTTAAGAAAAGAGTAAAAAAATAAATAAAAATATGGTATATAAACTGTTTTTGTTTTTTATTCTTAGGATCCATTTGGAGTCGCAGTGGGCGGCACCATTGGACACTGTCTGTGCACAGGTCTGGCTGTGATAGGAGGGAGAATGATTGCCCAGAAGATATCGGTTAGAACAGGTAAGATGGCCTAAAGAGAGTGTGTGTGTGTGTGTGTGTGTAGGAGAAGTGGGTTCCTATTCTCCTGGGAGAATTCCTCTGGAGGCAGCTCTGTTTACATACAATAATTATCAAAATATTTGTAGACAATCCTGTTAAGGTTTGATGGATTAGGTGGATCAGATTTAAAAACAAACAGAGAGAAAACAGCAATCTACTGTTAAACTAATTGTTATTTTGCCCAAAAATGGTACACACACAATTTACAGCCCACGTTTTACAATGATTGAAATGCATTTTTATTTTTAAAAAATCAAGTAGGTATTTGTAGAGTGCAGTCTAAAAATAAAAAGTAAAGTAAAAACTTTCAAAGTAGAGCTGTAATGACTCATTGAATAATTCAAATAACCAGACGATTTAAAGAAAATCTTCGACACAAATTTTCTCCTTTGTTTAACACACGGCTGTGTGGCGCTCAGTCATCTCCATGTAAACATGAGCGTTTCACCACTAACACTTTCATTAGAAACGTATCTAGGAGCAGGCATGTGAATAAAATATGTCAGTATTAGGCCCATGTTTTTCAACAAGAGTATAATAACACAACAGCAGCAGTGATGATGATTATGTTTAACATGGAGTCTGTCTACACGCACGGTGAAGAGCAAAGAGGGGGAGTCGTTACTGAGATGGTGACCTCAGTTAGAGTGAAAGAAAATGTTTTTCTAGTGTCCAAAACAGCAGCGCTGTTCTTGTGGTCACCATTAAAACCTTTACTGGGAAAAAGCTAATGGGAGTCTTCATCAAACCATCCAATCAACAAACTCCAAGCTTTTGTTTTATACAGTGAAAATCTATAGTAAAGCTACAGAAGTTGCATTAAAATATCCAAATGAGCTGTTAACTTGGCCTGATACCATGTTTAAAATTAGGCAGCCGGCTGAAGCCTGACGAAAACCGTCCCATTTTTGTATCATAATGATTCCTGAAACAAGCAGGAGGGAGTCTAAAGGAGGGCATGGGGTGTTTAGACAATATTTCAAGGCTTTCACAAATTTGTCTTTCAGATTTAAAGTGAAATTAAATATGAATAAACATGTTAATATTTACAAAAAATATATATAAAGTTTGTTGACCTGTGGCTGTTAAGTCAGACACTGACTTATTATTAACATGTCATTATTAACATCTGCACCATCATAACGTCTTGTTTTCAGCAGCACGAAAATTTTGCATAATAGCACAGGACAAACTTCAGCCAACGCATGGTCCTTTAAAGGCTTACAGATACAACCCCATTCATTCACTAACACACTCAAACATGCAGAGACACACAGATGCAGACAAACACATACACGTGAAACCTACCTCATCCAGAAGATAAAATATTACTAATTAAAGGGTTTAGGTGTTTTTTGACAGATGCCGTTATATAAAATGGAAACCCACGAGCAGTACATTTTGAAAGAACTGTTGCGGGGGAGGTTTCCCCCTCTTTTGAATATTTATTATTGCTCATTAATAAGTTCTTATCTGATTGCTCAGTTAATCGATGGACTAATCAATAGAATACTTAATTACTAAATGAATCCTTATTTGCAGACCTATTTCAAAGTCACTTTTAGTTTGGATTCTGCACCATTGACACTCCTATTTCTAAGACTTCAGTCTGCTGCCTCCACCTAATATGATTCATTTAAAATTTTCTTGACATGGTCGGTGAAGATATTGGACCATTTGCCCTCCCCTAACTTCCCTCGCAGGAATGCTAAGACTCCTGGGAGTCCTTCCTAGTGATGCAATGCTGTAATCATTTGGTTTTACCATCATGAAAATTACTGGTAAATTCACATTTGCTACAAAAACCTCAAGATGACCCATGATGGGGCTTCACAGAAAGATTCAGTAGTTTGTTCATATAGCTATATCAGATTTAAAAGATCAAAAAAATAAAGAAACCAGTTTAGTGTCAAATAAATCTGCCTTGTTTAAACTGAAAATCTTTGCTTAACTGACATTTGTTTTCTTGTTTTGTTTCTGTAGTTACAATCATTGGAGGAATTGTTTTTCTGGCATTTGCCTTGTCTGCCCTGTTCATCACACCAGAAACTGGACCTTAAATTGGAGGAAAGACTTTCAGGTTCACTTTGTAAATACTCGTAACATTTGATCAAGTTGCTGTAGATGCATTTTAGTTTCGACCCTCTAAGTCTAAAGGACTCAACAAAGAGTTGGAGTCCTGTCTTCCTTTCCTTGAACGTCTCTGTTCCTTTGTGATCTGTGAATCAGTTGGATTTCTCAGAGGTTAATTAACAACCTGTAGGTGGCATCCAAACCTCATGGGAAATGTGTTTGTTGACTGCTTACAAGGTGTGTTTCATCTTCATCTCATCTAGCGAAGGAAAGACTGAATCACAGAGGCCTGATTAACAGGTGCGAGCTTAGAAAGGAGGGAGGACTTTGTCACACTCTTTAAAACTTGTATTCTTTTCACACGGTGTGTGAGAGAAAACTAGATTGTTGCAGATTGCTGCCCTATAACGTTCTACAGGTGGCTGAGAAACTGAAGCCAACTTTCCTCATAGTAACATCTCAGCAAAGGAACTTAGTCCATTTAAAAAATCTTTTCCGTTTTTAATGTCTATTTTAAATGTTAAGAATGAGCCCCTTTGCTGTCAGGTGACTTTTGGCAAAATATGAGCCGCCAGTTTCCTCCCAAGTACAGCAGTTGAGGCTGGTGTTACTGTCGTTTCCACTATCTGTTATTAGCTTCTTCGTTTTTTTTAAACGCACACCTTACAGAGGTGCATGTGAGAGTGCATTCAGATTCTCTGTCAGATTGGACCAGTGTGCAAATGGCACAGCTAACATAACACTATCCAGATAGCTCCCCTGTGGTTACCACACAGATTACTTCCAACGGTGTGAACATGTCTCGAGTACTATTTACTGCTACCACATGTCAGATGTGGGACAGCTGTAGAGCATATCCCCGTCTGGTGTTCTGCGGATTGTCACAGAGCTTGTTTACTTCAGAGGAAAAACACCAAAACCAGAACCAGCTGCACATTTATAGCAACAGTTTCTGTGATCTGACTTACACTCAATTTTTTTTTTTTCTTTTGTAAATACAAGATTTCACATAAGAGCAGTCCTTTACAGAGACCTGAACCACTAGAATACCTCTACTTACCTGTATTTGAATGTCAGCATCCTGGGTTTATCTACAGTTCACGTGAACCTCTTCAGAAATGATAATCGTATTTACTCATAATGGTATCAGACGGTAACGGTGAGCAAGGCGTGGGATTAGGTTGAAGAAAGGGCCAGGAGTCACCCTGACAGGTTCAGTCTTCCTCTGCGATTAAAGCCATTTCCAGCATGAACCTCAGTTACTGAGACAGATTGTAAAGAGGACTACATCAGGTACAAAAATTATTTATCCTACACAAGACTTGCAGTAGAAGCCACTTCTCTTAGGTGTGTTGGATCTGCGGTGACAGCTCGACCCAACTTAATTTAGATCTAAATTTCACCCTTCATTTTTAAATGGTACATATTTATTTAGCTTCCTTTTCTTTTTCCTTTCTAGGCATATGTATTGACAAAGGGTGGATGATATTACTGTACAAGCAATGGAAATATTTTTTTAAGTGAACAGGCTAAAGCTGTGTTGTCAATATTTGACAGGCTGTGAACTACTTCTGTTTGTAATACAGGTTCTTTGAAATGCCTATAAGTCTTTAAAAAAAAAAAAAGATCAATAAAGGTTTCATGTGTTGTCTGATTTCTAAACTAACATTTAGTGCTGTGTTTGAGTTGAGTGGTGAGGAGGAATACAGAGTCAATTATAGGAACAGCACCAAAGATGATTCACACAGATTTATTTTTGAATCCAAGGGGAGCAAACGATTGACATATTTGCCTCATAAGGGTTATGTTGAGGTCCATGAATAATTTGGCTCAAGAAATTAATGCAAGTCACCTTAAAGGATACCTATTACACTTTTCATCATGTTACTGTCATCTATTTACTGATACAGTGACTAAAGTTCATTTTAGAGTATTTTTTCCGCTTTGCTCTTTATATGGAAGTTTATTTCAGACACTGCATGGGTGGAAAAATGACATCCATAAGTCAAACTTTGGGGTTTGGTTTTGTTGATTCATTTAATATGCCATCAACCTGGCAGGGACTACAGATGAAAATTAATCCATCTGGCTATTTACAAGATTAATTTTAGTGCTCATGTTAATTAATATGCATTGTCCCTTTGAAATAAACATACATATACCAAATTAATGATTTATGGATGGCAAAAAAAATTTTTTTTTCAGTGGTTGAAACAAGTTTTCATGCCTTTAATGTCGTCAGTGAGAATAAGTATTAATCATTCTTAACACGTCACATCTCACGCTGTTCAAACTTTGTTTGCTAAGGGCAGCAAATCAGAAAAGCAGAGGGATGAGCGCTACAATGAGTGGTTTCAGACAGTGGATGTACTGAGGGGTTGCACCAACATCCAGTATGAAATGTAAACGGATTATTTTGAACTTTGAGTCATGCAAAGCTACGGTAATGTTGTTAAAGAATTTACCAAAAAACAATGAAGCTGGAAATCAGCACAATAGGTCATCTTTAAGTGTCTTTATAACACTGGAGTGCAATAAAATGCTAATGTGTACAATTTCTAAATGTTGGATATAATCAGTAATTAAAGTTGAGCTGAGGTGTTTAACCTAATAACAAACAGCAGGTGTCAGTAGTGGATGCTTAGTGCAACATTTCCCAGTTGTGCTTCATAGAAGAACAAACTGGAAGCCTTAGCATTCACTACAAACTCTTAAAGCTTTTTAGAAAGAAAACTGGAATAGGTTCCATTATGTGGTTATAAAGTTGTAATAGATGCATTTATTGATGATTAAGAGATTAACTGCTCTGAATTGAGTTGATTGTTTTAGAGTTAGATATTAGTTTTGCCAATTTGTAACTCAAATATTCTGCTTGAAGTAAATAATCCATGCATGTGTTTTTCAGCTTCACATAACGATTAAATATATTAATTCATATCTACACATTTTTCTAGAACCACGTGATCAAACTTGCCTATAATGTAGTGAGAGAGGTTTATTAACAACTCAAAAAGACATGACTTAAAACTCTTTACAAAGGGTGTATTTTTTATCTCAAATGTAACCAAAGATTTCTATTCATACTCAGATGTGTTACCAAAGTTAAATCAGAAGTTGGATCTTCTGGTCAAACCTGAACTACTGACGTCATTACAGGAGTTCAAAAGTCCTGCTCCCGTCATCAATCAGGGTGTGACCACATTGTGTGGGATGTAGTCATGAAAGATTTAATGTTGTTTTTTGCTATTGAGCGCACTGCAGCAGTTAATTACTTGAGCCAAACCACAAAAAAAAGCCACAAAAATATGAACTGAAAGCAGAGAGAGAGAGAGAACACCGAGTTTCTAGTGTGTACATCAGAACTACACAACACTGAACATAATTCACTGTGTTCTTTGATTTAGGGTTTGTGTCCTGAGGTTTCCCCAGACAACATTTCCCCCACTTGTTTTTGAGACTTGCCAGTGACCCACAGATAACTTTAAAAGCCCAAGTTGCCCTTATACATATATATAAATTGGTCATTGTGGGTTTTAAAAAAAAAAAAAAAAAATCACTATTGCTTAATTGGCAGGGAAAGACTCAGTATAAACACTGAATAAAGACTGAAAAGAAATATACATAAAGGTGTGTGTGTGCGCGCGCGTGTGTAATATATATATATATTAATATATATATATACACATACACACATAAATACATACACCATACATACATACATGCATACATACATACATGACACACACACACACACACACACATACATACACACACACACATATACATACATACATCCACACACACACACACTTTTAATTTGATTTTGATTCCAAGTCTTAACCAGCACTTTCTGGGGTCTTTGTGTGTATGTCACAGTTAGTTTAAATCCTTCAAATGTTTATCAAACCTCTATTATTGTCTTTTTTGCACATTAAAAGTTAGATTATTTGATTTCTTATATATATATATGATAGTTCCATAAAGTTTATACCAGACATAGAAAAATAATTAAGTTCTCTTATTTACTGTATTTCCTATCTTACAATGTGCAAAGCCTCCCACAGGCATACGCCTCCTCATGAAAAATGAAGTCCCCACGTTAATGACACTGAATACATTCTTGTGGGCATGTGCTGCTTGCATGCAGCACAGGACGAGGTCCACTCTACAGAAATTCGTAACAGGAGATAGCGGTTGTCTTACTCAAACACTGATCTGTTGTATTATGATCACTGATTTTAAAGGAGGAGGGAGAGAAATGCCATGTGGAAAATTAGGACTACGAGGTCCAATTATAATCCAATTTATGCAGCACAGAATCATCACAGTGGAGCAAGCAGGTATTGGAGATTCAATGAAAATGTAATTTGTGGGTTTTAAAAACAAGGAGGCAGTTTATACAAGCGCTTTTTGCTTTGTTTTTTTCTTTTGCACTGACAGGAGGCTGGTGAGATAGCAAGCAAGAATGTCTAATAGTTTAATGTCCCGGATTTGGATTTTATTATTTATTTAGAGTTGTGCTGAAGAAACAGACTGAATAATTAACTCAGAATGGTTCTGTCATCATTTGTGGGATCTGGGATCATAAAGGTGCATTCAGTACATTCGCTTTCACTCTTTTCTGTACTTGACAGTAATTTAGGGAACTTACTAAATCAGATACAGATAAATCTTGTAAAATTATTGTTCCGTTATCATTTTAAGTTTAAAAAAAAAAAAGGTGATTTGTGAGATAAGGAAGATACTTTGAAGCATTGTTTCTCCAAGTCAAGACAAATATACAAATCTATATTCTTCATCTGGTCCCATAGAGTAGCTGCCTTATCTGCAGTATGAAGGTTAATGAAAATGGTAATTACATGTGGCCAATGATAAACGATAAGTCACAGAAATAATTCAAAGAAAAAGGCCAAATGTATTTGAAGTTTTGAATAATGAACTTTCAGACATTAACAGCCTAGTTAGACTGAAGAATCATAAGTGCCCAGAGGTATTATCGTGGTAGAAACTGTAGCTGTTGATGTGACAGTTGATTTTCCTCCCAGCCTAATCCAACCTGAGCAGCGTCAACCTTTAAGAAAATCTGCTGCTTGTGCCAAACCATGATAGGCTCCTCTATCCTCAAGCAGTAAACGGCAAATAAGAGTAGAGGCGCTTTTTATTGACACTCTATGCTTGCTTGGGTTTTCTATGCTGTACTGCACAAACTGGGAACAGTGGAATAAAATGTTCACTTTTCAGTGCTTTGAAGCACTCTGTACAACTGACTCCGTCTTCTGAAAATGGCTGGATTCAAGGTGGCCTAGAACAAAACTGACTTTCTAAATAAACGTATGCTATCGGGTAGGGTTTCCCCTTTGTGAACACTACACTCTAATACTGGGGAGATGATATAAGAGTGCACGGTTTTACAAGATATCTTGGAGCAGATGTCAAAGACTGACTTTGTGGCCATGTGTTGAGCTCAGCCCATCATTTCACACAGATGAAGAGGAGGTTGGACTGTCAGCTTCATACCATCTGGCAGTGCATTAGATCAGATGGTGAGGAGGCTGCAAAGCAAGCCTACTAAGCCAGACCACGTAGGGCTGAGTCTGCTGGGGATCCTGGTGATGGTCTCCGTCTACAGTAACACTGATCCCCTCAATGCCATCTTTAGCTCAGTGATACAAATTATGGTGAGTGTACTAAAAGTCTGGCTTACCCCAACTTTCCATTGTGACTGTAGAACTCCAAGGTTCTTTTTAGCTTTTGGCAAATATTTAATGGGTAATTAAAACGTCTTCCCGGTACTGCTGGATTTGGCCTAATATTATATAAGTGTGTCCTGAAAAATCTTTTTTTTTTTTTTTAACTTAAGGCAGCTTTAATCAGTGTTATTACAATGACAGTTGCTCACATGACTGCTTATATTTAAGTGCTTGCAGTTCTGAACCTAAAGAGTATTACTGGCTTTGCATTGTCCTCACTCTGAATGTTTTACGATCCATAACTGCAGTTTAGAAAAATAAATATTACCTGCAAAGCATCAATCAGCAGACGATGTTAGCATCCAGCTGCTGAATACCATCAAGTGTTAAGGAGCTGAAAAGCAACGGTTTGGTGGTACCAGTGCATGATGTAGAGCTGGGTTCACATGTTTTTCCACCGTTTTACAAAAAAAAAAAAAAAAAAAGGCCCCCTTAAATTGGGACCCAAAGTGACATAAGTGTCTACACCAAGACACTGTCAGATACAGCCTCAATTTTCCTCCCACAGAAACAACACCTACTTCTACTGGGAACACTTCATGATATTAGATTCTCTGCCAAAATGTGTGCTGGTTCTCAAAAGGCACAATGGTAGAACTGGCTCAGCACCTCGTCTGCGGAAGAGAGGTTGCAAATGAAATCCCAAATGTAACTCATACGTTTGTTTTCTAAATGTAAAAAGCCATAATATATCCATGTCACTGCCATCAAGGGGCCAAATAACGTTACTGCAGTTCTCACAAGACAATCTCAGACCACTCAGCACAGCTACAAAAAGCAGAGCAACTGGCTTCTCCCGATAATCCACAGAGCTCAGAGAAGGGTATAATGGAATAGGATGGGATCTTTGTATCGGGTTGACAGGATGACTGGTGTCTCCCAGAAAGTCCTGGAGAGAGTGGATGCTTTTTGTTCTGCGTGCCCAGCTAAAACAGTTAGATGCCTTAAAACTAGATCATGTCTCTTACTAAAGTATTTAATGGGTTAGTATTTTATATTTACATACATCTAAAAGTATAAATGTTTACAGGTGAAATAAAGCATCCTTGGGTGCCAACACAGGCGATATGGATGGCTATGAAATGGAGGGATCTCAAGTTCTAAAAATTAAGAAATGATGATATGAAGGATAATGTTAGCAGATCTTACTGTTGCATATGTTTAGCTTAATGTTGCCTCCATTCTATTCACAAATCTCACACATTGATTTCAAGTCTTAAGTGCTTGAGCACATCTTTAAAAAAACTAAAGTATTTTTCTATCATTCTGTCGATAATTTTGTGAAGTTGTGTGAAAATAGGGGTCAAGGATTAAACAAACTGTGACACAACAAACAGCATCGGCACTGTCTGATGCAGACACACAAACAAACATCCCCTAGGAGAAAGGAAGTCTGTGAAAATATCAGCCACTAAGCATTTTCAGGTCTTTTTTTCTGAGTATTAGAAAAAAAGCATATTCAAAGCTGCAAATAACAGACTATGCATTTCATTTCATGCATCATATAAAATATTAGTTATTCTTCAGTATATTTACAGTATATATTACACATGATATTCTGTACAGTCAAAGTTCAATCTACACCACATTCTTAAAAATATTTTCTGACCCATAATTAGTTTTACAAGAAAAACATACAAAACAAACAATTGGTTGTTTTGTAGGACGTCCTCGAAGTGAAGCTCTCCACCGCACTGACGGGAGAACTGTGAAATAATCCTGTGAGGGTGACTAGAGCACACATGCGCGCCTGCACACACACACACCCAAACACAGACACACACGACACAAGGGGAGGCGTAAGGGGGAGTCTTTTGCAGGCCTTGTATGGCCCTGTTTTCTTGGAGGGAAGGCTTCATTCCACAGCCAAACCTGCTGCCACAGCAAGCCCCATCCCGGGTTCTCTGGTGTACTCTGGGCTCAGGAGTGAAGTGCAAACAGCACAAGATTCGCGTGAGAGAAGCAGAGCAACAGAGTGTCCACTTCTCATCCTCTGAGGTTTTAGTGGTGCACTTTCAGCAGAACTGCACTTTACACTCCCATCAACCACACCTGAGTTTGGCTAACTGCACTTCTGATAGGCTTGGGCTAGTTACTGCGGCTGTGTCGCTGAGCGGTCAGACAAACTATCTGCTCTGTGAGGAGCCAGCTGCTGTTGCTGCTTTTGTTGTAACTGCTTCTGCTGTGTTTGATGCTGTTGCTGCTGCTGTTGGGCTGCTGCAGTGAAGGTACCCTGCTGCTGCAAAGGGAACGCTGCCTGCAGGATCAGCTGGGTGGACTGGTTTCCATGAAGGAGTCGAGGAGCCTTAAGTGAAAAAGTTACATTAGCTTAGTCGGCACAGCCTAACGAGCCAAGATGTAACTTAAAGCTGCAGTAACTAGGACTCTGCTGATTCACTGTAAAGCAAGAAAGGCAGGCAAATCAGTGTCTGTGTAATGGCTGAACAATACACAGACACTGAGACATGAGTGCGCATGCTGCGTTCTTCATGCTCTATTCAGGGTGGTCCCTTGGCTAAACCAGAGGATTTCTAACAATTTAAAAGTATCTGAAGCAGACCATTATTTAGAGATTACAGATTATTGAAATGTAATAGACTACAACAAGCAAAAGATCTGGACCGCTATGTCTCACCATACTTAGCCTTATGATTGTAGTGCGACCAAAAAAAACATTTGTTAGACAGGCTTTTGGAGGCCATCAGTCAAAGCATATCAGTTCCTCCTCATATATTAATTATATAAAAAAAATAGTAACTTGTGGCATTAAGTTAAACGTTAATTTCTAGATCTAATTTGTCATCCACCATCCTCTTGTTGTGTTTAGAGTCCGATTGAACAGTGAGTAGTGATATGGAACTGAAACATCGTTGTTGTCAACAGGAATTCATCTAAACTAAGCTGCATCTTTCAACATTGTATTTTAATCAAAATCACATTTTGAAAATGTCCTCATCTGTCAACAGATCTGAAAAAAAATATTCACATTCAACTCCATCTCCTGTGTCAAGTTCTTTGAGCATACAAAGAATTTTCAATTTATATAAAATAAAATTCATTAGGATATTTTAAATCACGTAAACAGCAAGCTGCCTGTATGCGAGCCAACTTCATACAGTAAAACTTCACCTGATAAGTGGTTACTGTGTCAGTGTTACCTGTAGGAACTGTGTTTGCTGCTGGGTCAGTGGAGCTTGCCCTTGCTGCATGGCTGTGACCTGAGACTGCGGTTGAATCTGTTGCTCCTGTTGCTGTTGCTGCTGCGGAGCCTGTTGGGAAATGCTAATTGTCTGCGTCTGGCCCTGCTGCGGTGCAAAGGCCGTCACCACTTGACCCATAAACATGGTTGTGGGGACCATAACTGCCCCACATGTCATCTGCCCTGTCACTAGCTTGGTGAGCAGCTGGGGGCCTGCAGGAAACCTGTAAGGTTCAGGAAGTTAGTCAGGTCTGATAAGTCTAATTAACCCAAATTGACATAAGGTCAATATATATGACCTTTTTTCACTATAAAAGTGCACTGTAGCTAAATTAGTACTACATTAAATTGAAGTATTATGCACCACAGAGGGTGCCATCAATGAACTCGAGCACTACTTAATAACATTTTCATTATGAAGAAATATAACAAATAGATTTAGGTGAAGATTCACACCTAATCTGAGCCGAACGGTCCTGTGCAAATGTTGCCACAGCAGGAGTGTTGGGTCCAGTATTCTGCGCCAGGCTTGTGGCAATCTGAACCACGTTAGCAGGACTTTGCTGAGGGATCATCATCGTGTTGTAGAGAGATGCAGGCAGTGGATTCTGTTGAGGCTGCACTGTGTGCGACGACCTCTGAGGCTGAAATAAACAGAACCGGAGTCTATGACACGAGCATGCTGAATGGAAAAATCTATAACAAACACAGCTAAGCTATGAATTCAGCGTGTCAGTGAGAGGCAAAATGAGAACCGTTTAGCCTGTCTGACCTGCGAGAGTGCTGTGTTCTGTTCCCGTAGGAGTGTTTGCTGCTGGGATGGGGGCTGCACAGCATGTTGTTGCTGTATGCTGTTTTGCAGAGATCCTGCAGAAACCACCTGGCCCTGCATGCTGAGTGTACCCCCCTGCTGCCCACCATTCCCCTGGGCCATCTGTACAGAGCTCACATTTAGTCCTCCAGGCCCTTTCTGCAGGAACATCTGAGATACACATCACATATTCGAACTCCAGCTCTAATTATAACAGCAACACATCCATCATGTAAGCTGAATATAAAACAATTAAAAAGAAAACCTTTCATATATTTACTAGGCTATGTAATCATTCATTTGCAACACTTGTGCGCAGCTCTTCAGTCCTACCTGCAGACTCTGTCCCTGCACCTTCTGTAGCTCGTCCTGGATCTGCCGCAGCTCATCCTGCTGCCGCTGAATGTTGGCCTCGATCATTCTGGTCCTCTGCTCCAGCTGCTCTTTCAGGTGCTGCATGGCTTCTAACTGGCTGGAGAACTGGACCATTGACTGTTAAAGAATAAAGACATAACAGTATGGCAGTTTATTTTAAATGTTCCATACGTATATTTTACAAATTGTTAAGGCTCAGGTCACATTCTCTGAGTACAAACAACTTCTTGCATGCTGACCACAGAACACATTTTAACCAACAGTGACCACTGGCTTAAAAATGTAACCAATTCAAACTGCAGCTCCAAGAATATCTGCTTAACGTTGGCAATAAAAGCAAGTGAATTTGTGAACACCCATAAAATTCTCAGCTTTAAAGCAAAAATAAACATATTTACAGCCTGCAAACTTTCCTTTGTTCTCTACAGCCAACTGACGGTTCATGACTACTGTGTGCAGGGGCTATATTTTTATTTAACTCACCTACATTTTTTAAAGACTTAAAAATCCAACATGCTGACGGTCAGACTACAGGCTACAGTAGTCCACAAACCAATAGGTGGCATCATAGGGACTACGTCTACGTTTTATATATAAATATAGGCATTCCTGGGTTAACAGCCCCATCATGTCAGTGCGTGGGAGCTATACAGAGCTTTGCAGATCCATGTTCATTGGCTGTCCCATGTCATAAGGCAGTGTCAAACAGACACATAGGCTACTCTTGTTCATAATTGTGCTGTTGGACCTTCAGTTTATCAAATGCCACACAGAAGACATAAGACATGATGGATAAAGAAGTTCTTTATAGTGAAGTGAAACTGAGCATTAAAAAAACAAACAAACAAACAAAAAAACGCTGTCCACTGCAGTCATTGTCTGCTAGTTATACTTAAGAATCAGCAATATTAGACAATAAAAAAAATGACGTGAATATCTTACTTGGTTGTTGGTCAGAACTTGTTGCTGTTGCTGCTGTTGTTGTTGCTGTTGCTGCTGTTGTGGCTGCTGCGGCTGTTGTTGTGAAACCATGGATGACGCCACGTTCTGTCCTGTATTTTGGGAACTCATCGACTGCTGATGGAAATAAAGACACCAAACAAAAGTCCTAAGTCCTAATGAAATCCCTCATGACCCAGAATACAGGTATCGTGAAATTTAAGACCAGGGCGTGTGCGCTTGTCCATCCACTGACCTGACTGCTGATAGATGATCTCCGTTGTGATGTCATCTCCACAGCAGAGACCGACTGGCGACCTGGTGTACTCCTATCTCCCTGAAGCTTCATTTGTGATGCTGAAGGGCAAATATAAACATGATGCTCAGATAATAATAATAAAAAAAGAAATAGTTAATATACATCAAGCTTTGCTCAGTAGTGAACAGATGCTTGTACTTACAGGCTGGGTCAGACACAGCCGTGTGGGAAGATTTACGTGAGCTGCGAGACGAGGCCGATGGGGTCCGACTGTGGTCAAATCGCTCTAAGGCCTCTTTCAAGCTGAAAGTGTTGAGCTGGGACTCAGAGCCTGAATCCTGGGATTGCTGCAAACAATGCATTGTCACAAGGTCACTATGCTGTCCACTCTTTAATTTTTACAAATCATACCTCATGTTGGTCTGACCTTCTCAGCGGTGATTTGAGGTGGTGATTCTTCAATTCCCAGCTCTCTGCGCTGTTCTGCTCTTACTTCAGCATAACTGCAGCGCGAAGACAATTAATGACACACACAGTTAGGGTTGGACACAACTTTCATAATTATGGCTCTGGAAATCACCAGAATACACCTGAATTTAAACAATTCAAGTTCAGACTTTCTGATTTCAAAGTTTGAACAGAAGTATATGGAAAATTAACAAATCATGACTTTTTTTTTAATATAAAGTTTAATACAATTGTAATACTACTACTACTAATAATAATATATATATTGCTGCATTTGGCTGCCTCTTATACATTTCAATATGTAAAAATATTTCCAGTAGCTTTTGTCTACTCCATAGTAATAAAAACACCACATCACTGGAAGCAAAGCATGTCATTATACTACCTCTAGGGTTTTACAGAGGACTGTATGTTTTAGCTCGTGAGCAATGTCATATCAAAGGGTCAAGAGGGAAATCTTCATGCACCTTACGACCGTGTGTGTGCAGACAATGAACTCTGGCCTGGAGTTCCACTGGTGATAAGTAATGTAGTAATGGGTCTGAAGCCAAATCCATTGCTGCCCTTTGGTGAGGAATCTGTAGTAGCAGGACTTTCCTTTCCCATATTGCATTACTACACAGAAGCAAAGAGAAGATTTCAATGCTCTGCTTTGGAAGCTCGAGAGGAAGTTGATAACTGGAGTTGACCATGCTTCAGTGATCGCTGACAGAAGTGTACTCACAGTGTTCGTGACACTTGGCTAGTGTCTCAAGGTCATCTACATGATAGTAGTCATATCCTGATGTACCCAGGACCTCAAATGGGAGGTAACCTATGATGGGCGGAGCTCTGGACAAACAAAGTAAACGTTATTGAAATGATTAACTGGAAGTCAATCAGGAAATGTCTTGTTCTTACGTTAAGTCATACATCCAGCAATATTTACCCCTAAATGACAACATGAAGCAATAAGGGAGTATGTATGCATGTAGCTTCACCTGATGCTTTCACAGCATAAGGATAATAAGTGTCTTTCTAAATGGTTCAGGGTAGCATGCCTAAACATTTTCAGTAATGAGAGTTGGGATAATTTGCTACTCCCAGCTCTCACCACTCACCAGGATGAAATGTCTGTATTCAGATGTACAGTTTACCTTTCTACCAGCCCAGAAGAGCATGTTGTTGTAATGTTTAATGAGACTGATAAAGCTGATAAAGCTTCTTTTTTTTTTTTGTTTTATCCCTGAATAAGATCATTGAGCTTTTGTAACTATGAGAGCCAACTACATCTGTGTCTAAATTAGCTACTGGTTACAGTTATACCTGTAGTTCATTTCATTTGGCCTGTCCCAAGGAAAACACATTGCGACGCCGTTGTTCTGAGTTCATGTTCACACTTTTTTTTTTAAAACATATTAAGTGGCGTAAGCTTGAAGGAGGAGCTTCAGCCCTCAGGCTATCTGACTTCTGAACTACCTACTATTCTTATCTTACACACCTTAACCTTGGACTTCTATCATTCAACCTTAACTGAATGACATTTGCACGTCACACTGTTTATTGCATCATTATGCAGGCATTATTTCGACACTGATTATTATTTCGACACTGATTAGGATTTTTATTATTATTCTTCCATGCTGGAGACAGCTGTGGCCAGAACGGATCTTTTGGGTTGTCTATCCCATTCACGTAATATATCAGGAATGCCTGGAGGGAATGTCGTCACATCTGGGATAAATATTAACTTTGAATTAAGGATGAACTCATTAAAATTTACTCATTTTTTTTGGACAAAGGTCACTCTGATCTACCAAAACGAGATTTCAGCCAAAACTCAGGAATGTCTGCACTAATTATGAAACACATCTTTGAAATAATAAAATTATTAAGTTACTCCATTTTATTTTTATAAAGGTAAAAAATTAGCTACACTGAAACATAACCTAGGATATCAACTGAAACGTGCATGGTTTCAGAGGCATACAAAAGTGAATGCTTGCTTACTTTCAAATCCTCTTATCCCCCCCAAACATCTATTTTCATCATCATCATCATTTATTTATTTATATAGCACTTTAAAAAACACACCTGGTAGACCAAAGTGCTGTACAATACTAATATGCACATATGCACACATATTTGTGTAAGAAAATATATACATAAATATTCCAGATCCATGAGCTTACAAACAATATGTTGTACAATATGTAGTTGTGTAGATAGTCAACAAAAACAAATATCAATCCTGAAGTTAGAGTGACTGACAGGTTTTGGATAGTGTTCGTGATATCACCCCGAGTCATCAGCACCATGTTGAAGGCCCATGGGAAATAAAGTAAAAATGCTGGTGACCGATAGCGGGTCAGGTTGACCTCACTCTTCTTTTATAATAATAATTATGTTTCATGACCACAAGCCTTCATAAAAGCAAGCCTGCTGTGTAATAAATAATGACAGAAGTGTTACAAAACACGAGTTTTTTCGATTTGGTCTCTCACAAAAATCAACAATTCTGATTTAACAAAAAAGCCACGCAGTCACATAACGTAACCATGGTTAAAAAAAAAAAAAAAAAAAGGAGAAGGATTTTGGGCAAAATACATTTATATATAAAAAAAAAAAAAAAAAAAGGTCATTCTTTATAAATATAGGTCAGCAACTTTCACACCAAATCAAGTAGGTTAGGTTTGAATAAACACTTAATACTGATCCATTGTAGCACAAACTGAAAATTAAGTTATGCATTTACACTGATAAATTGGAAAAGAATTACCTGTGGTCCAGGAAGAGAAATTTCCACTCTAAGCTATGTCTGGATGTAAATTCCTCATTAGGCTCTTCTACTGTGCACATCTCCTATTGGTGCAAAGGGAGAAAACAGAACTTAGAAGACATAAAAATACACATACACAACTCTAAACTACACACAGTATATTGTCTTAAAAAGAGCCTTTTAAACTTGTGCAGTATGACAAATTACATGATCAATCATCCCTGTTTGTTCAGCAATACAAGTTCTGGTTTATTTTCAACTTATTTTATCCATTTAGGTTCTGCCATCTCCAGTAAAACAGCCCAGGTTTCTACGACAGTGATATGTCAACATAACCCCTCCCCCATTTTTAAATGAGGTAAAAAAGTTATTCCCAGCAGAGGCATGAGGGAACTACACATGATAAATGACAAGGGCCCAAATCATTTTTCCTCAGGTGACCATTACTGCTGAGCCCTGTCCTAATTAAAGCTACCTTAAGAGCCCTAAAGCAAGAAACCGAATGTGTGTCAACCAGATAAAAGGAGAAGCAGTTAAAGATTCTCACCTTGATAAACTGTGGCTTGGCTAGCCTCACAGTGGCTATGAGACACACTCTGTCTTCAAAGGCAGAGTGAAGTGATCGCTGGATCACTCCATCGAAACCATTTCGGGTACAGTTAGGCACTGGTAAAAAAAGAATGGGAACAAAGCAAAGTTAATCCTTTCACACAACATCTCTGCTCTACATTCTGACTCTGTGTACTGTAACTTACCATTATTCAGGGACTTGAAGTTTCCAATAAACTTTACATATTCATACACGGGGGGCTCTTTGGGGTCGATTGTCCCTCGGAGCATGTGGCAACAGAACTCTAGCTGATTTTTTGCTATAACAATAATAATAATAATAATAATAATAGCTTAAACATAAGAATTGAAGAACAAAAACAGCAGCTGAAGACAGATAACATATCCAACCTACTTTTAAGATACTCAGGTGTCAATGTTTCTCCTTCCATGACATGAGAGGACAGAGCCTTGTACACCTCTGAATGCTCCCCCACAGGCAAGAAATTTAACAAGTTCTGATCAACAAGATCAGACTGGGGAAAAACAAAATCAATGAATATGTTTATTACCAAATGTTTCATCAGTGAACTACTGACTTTATCTATTATTTAAAGCTTATACTCACTGGTAAATGTTCTAGTAGGGAAGTCACACTCTCAGAGACATAGATTATATTCCCATCAGCCATAATTGCAAGGAAAAATCCATCTAACGCCTAATAGAAACAAAGGTTAGATAATATTTCATCTATGTTTTTGCATAGAAACACAAGCAAAATAAGTGCAAGAAACTGCCTTACCTCCAACATCAGCTGAGTGAACTCTTCATTACTAAGAAAAGGAGGTTTCCAGTCTTGTCTGATCTCAGTTGACTCTGACTGAGCTGCGATTTCTGATAAAGTAGACATAACGCATGTAACTTATAACTCTGTGAATTTAAAAAGGCACGCATTATGCTTTACCTTATGGACCATTAAAGTGATCAGTATATGCCAAATGTTCATGTTTCAGAATGCACAAAGCAATCAGTTTCAGCTCATTTTTGTTCTACTTTTGTCTGTGTATGGTGGCCCTAATATGAGTCCACACAGAATTTGTTTGCAGGAGGCAGTCAAACAGAAGCAAGTTGGCTTGAAGAGAAAGAGCTAAAACATTTCATTTTAAACTAAGGATGAACTGAGGGATAAACCCACTACCATTATAATTAATTCTAGTGGTTATTAGAGTTTCTCACCTTTGTGTTTGTGCAGAAAGTCGATACTTTTCTGCAAAATAGTGGACTTGTCCATCTTCCGGGTGTTGCCCGGCAGCATTGTACCCAACTCCTTGATGAGGACATTGAACTGGTCTCTGCGCTTCTTCTCAGACTTGTTACGGGACACGCTGGTTATTTAGAAGAACAAATATTAGTAAAAGTTAGATGACATCTTAACTAGGAACACTTATCAAAATCTTGTTCACTGTAGCTGTAATAATTCAAAACGATATCTAAAATCAAGTCTTGTAACAACTACAATAGCAGTTTTATGGAGGATGCAACTTCACTGAATGCATTTGATATGAAAACAAACCCGAGATCTTACCGTTTTGCTTTGTCCTTTTCATCTTCTTCCATTAACCCATCAAAAATACTACTGTCATCCCTGCAGAATGGACAAACCAACAGTTATATCAGATCCTTTAACATTTACAGTGAGCTCTTTGATAAGAAAATCTCTCCTAGAAAACATGAAGACATCAAACTCAGGCACTGTAAATCCCTAAATTACTTTGATCTTAATCTTCAAAAAAAGGAAAAAATGAAATCACTGTTAATTAGATGCATGAGAACTGTGGGCTGAATGTGTTTTGGATTTTCTTCATGTCCCACTATTTTTTTAAATCAACAATAAAAAAAAACCTAGCCAAATGTTTGACTCACTGGTCAATGCTCGAGGTCATTTTGTATCCTGTTCAGGGTCGCAGTGTCGGTGAGGGGTCTTTTAATCGTGAGGTAGACATTTGTGAATAAACCTTTGAAGAAAAAACACCCATAAAATGGCAGAGTGTCAAAGAATCAAAAAACTTCAGACACGAGCAAAGATGGTAAAGACATTTCACCTTACTGACAGTACAGCCAGTTCTGTGAGAGGATGAGGAAGGTGCTGCTGGGTGAAGGTAGAGTACAGGTGGACACTCTGTGATAGGGGTGTGCTTTTATGAGTCTTGGAGGATATTCTCTCAAAGTCTCTCTTACCAGGCTGCAGAAAATAGCTAAAAGTTCCTCGGGGTGCTGTGTCTTTCGTCTGCTTAGGGTGTAAGTCTGGCACATGGCAGCAACATCTGAGTCTATGAGACAAAAAGACACAACAACCGAGGCCGTTATTGAAAGATTAGAGAACCATGATATATGAGATTGATTTATATTAAAAAAAAATAAAAATAAAAAAACAAGCATTTATAAGAATTCTGCCTACATTTATGCCTGAGGGTTGAAATTACTCCTTATTCTTTCATAAATATAAATACATTATAACAATGGTGGATGCTAATATGATCAACGATCATGTCCCATGTTTGTTTAGATATGCAGCTGTGTGGAGCTCTCTCTCCTCTCTGCAAGGCAGGTGGGTGAGTGTGTTTGCTGCTGAGACCAGGCGAGACTGCTGATTGGCTGGTTTGAAGAAACTGCTGTGTACAGGCTGGACAGCCACCCCTTAACCTCCTTGCCTCCTCTCCACTCACACAAGAGCTAGCAGTTGGGCAGCTAATAGCACTGTGTGTTTGCGTGAGAACACTGGTTCTAAGAGTTGACTCTTAACACTAGGTGTGGAAGTGACATATAGGTTAAGAGTTATTGGTTACAGTTTATTTTAGTACTACTGTATTACTATTGACTCTGTATGATGTCAGTGACAGAGGATAAAGCTCAGTTTCAAATGGGAAGGGAGCTAAAACAGCTTATTTCAGAACCAGATGAACTAATGGGCAACACCAAGGTCCAGTATAAGATAAGGTTAAGTTTGAACTGTGAATCCTGCAAAACTGCTTTACCTGAATTCAAGAATAGAACTGTCGACCTGCAATTGTTATTCACTCTTAATGTGGCAGCACAATATCAGCACTCACATCAGCACAGTGAATTTTTCTGTTGCTGTTGAATGTATGACTATAATCACCTTTATCCACCACAGCTTATATTAAGGTGGTGCTTTAATAGGGGTCACATCCTACATGTGCAACAGAGACGTCGAGGAAAGCCAAAGGCTGAAATGAGTCAGTTTCTTTCTGCTGCCATGTAATATTAAAACCATTACATATAGTAAACAATTATGAGTGCTGATGTTCTCATCAATTTATTTTTTTGTGTTTGCAGTGGGTCAGCATCAATGAGACTGTTCTTTTTGTGTAGTATAATTTGGTAATACATCCCTTTACTTTAATAAAACCAAGTGGAGTTTTGTACTACATCAAATAGTCATTGTGTAGTTTCTTTGGCAATTCTTTGTGTGTTTTGCCAATGAAACAGCAGCAGAATGTGTTGGGTTTGCAATAGCTATAACCTCAAACAGCTCTGTCACAGAGAGTGAACAGTAAACAGTGAGGCTGTTATCAATTACATAAAATTACACTGGATTATATGCTCCATTGCTAACTGCAAATCACCCAAGCAATCTAAAGTAAGTGTGGCAAAAGTGGACTCTAAATACTAACAAACTCAAACAACAAAAACAAAAAGTAAAATAAAAAAATATTAATAGATGTGCAGTTGCACAAAAAAAGAAAAAAAAAATCCTGTGGATTACAATTTTTGAATTAATTACTTAAATTGACGTTTGATCGTCATAGTCATAACTGTAATCAAATACATTATGGTTTAACTACAAACATACTTTTTTAGGCCATTGTAAAAACCTTGGCTAGTAGGGTTTGGCTCGAGTGCAACATCCCAAAAAAAAATGGAAATGGTGACAGAAGTAATTTTAAAAGCGATAAAAAAATAAAAAAAATAAATTAGGGTACTTACTACCAAATATTTGCCTGCTTGTGTGCTGCTGTGTCAGATATACCAGAATCTGTCTTGATTTAAATAAGCCACAAATGCAACCATCAATAACTGAAATACTCTTTCTACCACCCATCTCTACTATCTATTCTCTTTGCCCAGGTACACTAGATTTCGAATTAAAATGAGAAAGCCCGCTGGGTCTCTAGCCTAAATATTTGACCCATTTACTTCATGAACCAGTTACCGTCACAACCTATGTGGGAGGCTTTCTCAACATAACGGCCTATTTGTGTTGGTGAGAAAATCCCTTCAGTGTTTTTCCCCATGAATCTTGGTAGACATAATTTAAAGAGTTTAAATTAGGCCTGTTAACATTTGGTAAAGCCAAAAAGAAGAATTACACCTACACTCACCAATAGAATGGGTGAGTGTAGGTGTATTATTAGAGTAAACAAAGCTCTTCAGTTAATTGAAATAAAAAAAAATTAAAAACTACTGGAAATGAAAAAAACAATAAAAATAAAGCTACTTCCAGCAGTTGCCTTATTCACAAGGAGTCACCACAGAGGTAGCATTACATATTTAAACTGAATCAAGCAATCAACCCACCCTTGAAATCAACTAAAACTAAAGTGTATTGAAAATTAAAGCTAAAAAAAAATTATTATAATAATAATTATTATTATTATTAGGTAAAAAAACATAACTCTGGATCCAATATGCATATTTATTGTACGTTTCAAAAAATATACATCAGCCACCTCACATAATTAAAATATAGTTCTTTTTAATGTGATTTAAAATATTTCTGTCTTATTTACTTTTCATATTCCATTGAAATCTAGTCATCAAAGTGTTGCAATTCAGAAAATGCATTGTAAAAAGAGTATCATGAGCTTCAATGTGCACATTTTCTTTCAGTAATTTGTTCTTTCCATTCATTTAAAGATTTTATCTTATTTAGCAGCACAGTGGTTAGCACTGTTGCCACACAGCAAGAAGGTCCTGAGATCAATTCCACCATCAGGTTGGGGTCTTTCTGTGTGGAGTTTGCATGTTCTCCCCGTGTTTGCGTGGGTTCCCTCCGGGTACTCCGGCTTCCTCCCACAGTCCAAAGACATGCAGTTTGTGGGGATATGTTAATTGATTAGTCTAAATTGCCTATAGGTGTGAATGCGGGAGTGAGTGTCAGTGCAAATGATCGTCTGGCTCTGTGTGTTAGCCCTGCGACAGACTGGCGACCTGTCCAGGGTGTACCCCGCCTCTCGCCCTATGACAGCTGGGATAGCCCCCGCCACACTGAAAAGAAGAAGCGGATGGATCTTATTTATTTATATGTACAGGATTTTTGGTTTTTGTCAAAAGGGGGGGACTACAAATAATGACATAAAAACAATTTTCACCATCATATATGGTGATGCCAGAACTTCAGAAGCCTGAAACATTTTTAAACAGATGCAAACACTGTCTACTTAAAACTGATTAAAGTACATAAATAACTGAGATATGAACTAGCAGGTATAGTACGTGTGTAATGGAAACTTCAGTCAGCAATGACAATACTGGTTTAAAAAAAGGATTTCTATTGGTTGGAATAAACTTGCTGTCAAGTCAATCAAAATAAGGAAGGAAGTTGGCACTGGAAGTGTTTACACCTTAGTGTTGGGACAGTGGAAAAAATGAAGGTAAGAGGGAGGAGTAGGTTCTGTCATGGCCCACTGACTTTCAGCTATGCAGTGTTATTTTACTGCACCCTACATGTGACGCTTTTCACACAAATACATTAGAGAGTGGATGTCTTAACTGAGATTAAACCTTTGTCAACACAAGTGGCCAACTACACATTGGCACAGCACTGTAAAAGGGAGCGGTGAGTTGTAGTAAAGAGCATTGTCTAAAGATTTTGTACCAACAGACACAAAGAGCTTTTCCTTTTTGGCCGTACATCATCTTAAAAGCAGGCAAGCTAAACTGGATTGCAAATTAAGACTGGGGGGGAAAAAGGAAAAAAGGAAAAAAGAAAAGGCAACAGAGGCCATCGGATGTAAGACAATTTCATAAATAAATTGGCTATATTAGAGCACAATGAAAGACAGAAAGAAAACATTGTAGTTGAAGCAGTAGCTTTCGGCACAGAGCGAACGTTGTGTAACTGGGAGAACAGGCGTTGTATAACTGTGATGTCATCTGTGCTTCACTGACCTGCTGGCCCAGTGACCTACTTTCCTCCTCCTCCGATCTAACTTAATCACAGCTCCACAAGCAACACCTTCCTCTTCTCACTAATAACACTACACTCTGTCAACACAAATCCTTAGTATTCCACAGCATGTATACTTCACAAAAGGTGTGAAGAGGGAGTCAAACTGCCTGCATCTCACGTTTCCTCATTTAATCACATGATTTGAAAAGGCTTCCTGGTGTTTCCTAAGCCTCAGCGGGGACCAACGTCAAGGAAGAAAGCAATGAAGATGTGCTGCATTTTCATCGGGCTTTAACAACGTCAACCAAACAGCCTCACTCACATATGCATTTTTCACACCGAAACATCTCAAAAAGCACTGACTGACGACAGTCATTTATCATAATTTTTATGTGGCTCACACAACATTGTTGAATGCCTGTATGTGGGTGTGTGCATTCAGATGTAGGGCACCAGAGCTCTGAGGATATGAGTCACTCTGAAGTGGATCTATGGCGCCGCTCGTCACGCACTCCGCCACACCCCGGCGCTGAGATGCCAACACAGCAACTGTGCCAATGGGCAACACCATAGCAACCGGCCTCACCGTGCAGTGTAAAAATAGCTCAGCCGAATTCCTCCGCAGCTGATACTCTCTCCATCATACACTAAGAATTATTAGACTACCGCGAGCAACTCCTTTTGTCATGAACTGGAGTCTGTGGATGTGAAACACTCTGCAGGTTCCACCTGTGCAGCAGTGCAGTAACACATGTGTTCTGTAAACATTACTGCACTGTTGTCTTCATGCAGTGAACATGGCTACGCACCAATTCAAACAGTACTTTTTGTCCCTAACTTATAATAAAGCAGATTCTACTTGTGAGGCAGAGCACTTTTACTTCTCAGTTAAGGGGGTCGTGGAAAGCAGAGAAAAAGAGCCAAAGATCCAAAAATGGATAGAAGATAGAATACAGCAAAAGCAGCTTTCACATATGACTCAGTAAGCTCGGAAATTAACAAAAAAAAAATTAACAAAACGCTAGATTACTACAATTTGTCTGACCAGAAATACTCAGTTAAATTATTCTAACCCTAACCCTGTCCACATATAGAGCAATAAACACAATGCTAACCGTAGGTCACAAGTGTGCATTA